CTTGAAGCGTGCCTTTATCTCCATGAAATTCAGACCTGTGACACTAAGAAAAGGAGGAGAAAAGCAGCAGCTGCCCCCAAAGGAGGAGTAACTGACACAAAGCCAGAAAATAAATATGCACATACTAAAATGTAATTAAAAAACATCTTTCATACCTTGCCACTTGGAAATTTTCCAACTATACTGAACCCATTCATTTACAAAACAAACTACCCAGCATGCAGACTTAATTTACATAAGGAAGGCAATGTACCACAGATTTACCTGTTGCAAATTGTCCTCATTCAAGATGCTGCGGTGTTATTTGCAGAGTTATTGTTTAAGGCTTCATTTTTACCCACATGTGGAGTTGTATTTTGTTTGTGGAATAAAAGGCAACAGGACATTTTCTACCACTACTGTTGCTAGCAGTGCTTTAGTTGTTGTACTTTGAAACAAAACCTGGCTTTGAGCAGCAGCTCACAAAAGGCCACCCTCAGCAAGTTACCAAAAGCTGGCATCTGTGCAGCCTGTTACACGTATTTACACAGGGCACAGGATGTTTCTAATTGAGTTAGAAACCCATCGTGCAACCTTCAGTCACAATGCTGGAGCAAAGCAAGTGATGTCTGCCATATATAATGCATTACCTAAGTGGAGTGCATTTCTCAGTGCCTTTGAAAAGAAAAGCTAGTGCCAGCTTTTACCCTCTGCACGATGGAGCGTGAGGAGGGGAGGAGAAGACCACTCCACATGCAAAGCTCATTCAGCACCTGATGCTCCAAACAGGCTCCAAGATTTATCACAAGGAACTGTGAAAAAGCCCCTTTTGGGTGACCCCACTTCCCTCTACACTTGTGAAGACTCCTGTCAGATTGACCAAAATCCTTACCCTTTGACTTTTCCCCAGAGTAACTTGACAGGGAAGTCAACACTGCTTGGTTGTGTTGGGCTGTACTGACCTGCAGTATTCCATGCAGCAGGGAGACTTCTGCCTACAGTTTTGTGCTTAGTCTTTTAAACAGACCTACCTGTGATCTCTCCAATCAGCCAACAGGAGCATCTGTCTAAAAAAAGAATCAGGGAATGCTGCTCTAAAATCCTTTTATCATACAGAAATAATATTTTTAATATCAAGACCTTGATTTAAAAAAAAAAACCCAAAACAACAAAACCTAAGGCCAGGAAGAGAGAGCTTGGTCAGCTGGTATTTGGGCAGAACAGACCTCTTAAAGAGAAGCTGGGGTGGGTGTTGGGAAGATGTTTCATGGTTCCTTTCTTGCCTCTAGCTTTGATCACTTTTGTCACATGCCAGATACTGGACAAATGAGAACCGTGAAAAATTCACTTTTGTAACAAAATTTATTTCTGCTCTGTGGATACAAATCCCAAACATCAACAAACGAATTCCAGTGGAAAAATACCAGTCATTAACAATGAAAACTTTTATTATTATTTAATAAATAGAACTTTGGCATTCAAAATTCTAGCTGTAAACCCTACTTTAAAAAAAATTACAAAAAGAGGCAAGAACAACAAGCCTAAAGCTGAGCCAGCCAGTGGCTCCGTTACTTTTTACAATGAACACATTGTGATTAAGTCATGACAACTCTATTTACATATGAGGTATTCTGAGCAGTTCAAAAATTGAACCCAATTTACAAAACTACCAGTCTTCAGGGACTGATCCAGTACATATGTCAGCTGTGCTTTTAAAAGAGAGCTCCAGACACTCCTCCCCACTGAACTAATGATATACTGTAATTAATATACACAGAAAAAACACATTATCATTTGTGTTTCCTGCTCACACATCGTATTCAAAGAAGCTGCATACAACAACCAGCCTAACATTCAAAGTGTACACCTAGTACCTAGTTTCAGTATTTCTGTTTCTAGACATTATGCAGAGTTCTTACTACAAAGCTTATTAACAAAGTAATAGCAGGTGAGAAGAAAACAAGGTGCAGTCATCAGCACACTAACAACTTATCTGAAGTTCCAGGGGGACATACATTTATTTACTTCAGGCTAAAAAGGCACAAAGGTATGCAGCTGTGGAATTAATATTGCTAATGAGCTACTGGAATAAATCATCCCTTTAGATAACAACCATTGAGCTGTTTGCAGTCTAAGAATGCAGATTAGTTCAGATCTTTTCTCCACTCATGGTAGAACTTGTCATATCAATGAGAAGAGCACAATTATACTTCCAGTTACACCTGCATTACGCCACTGAGAAGGGCAAGGAAAACTGGAGCAAATTGTGCCCTGATGGAGGGAGCGCAGCTTGCTGTCACTGCCCGTGCTACAGCAGAAGGTCATGGAGAAAAGGGTTTGCTTTCTTCCTTTCCTTGCACTCTTATCCTTCCCAAGAAAAACCAAAAAAATGTATGAAACAAAAGACAGGCAGCAAGGGCAAAAGAAGGAAGGAAACCTTCTGAAGTGAAAAGGACGGAATTTCAGCTCTTGAATGACTTCACGACCACCATCAGTTTCAAATGCTGGAGCCTGAGTGGGTGGTTTCAGCAGATCTCCACAATTTCACACACCTGTCACACCACAAAGCTGCACAGCGGAGTTCAGCAACCTAAATCACATTTACATGACTGAGCTGCATTACTTCTATATAGTAAATACTTCTATATAGTGAATACATCATCTATAGCTTGTCGGAAGACAGTTACTTTTCATGTCTTTTTCAAAATACATTCTTAAATACAGTAGTTACTGTAAGTATCTTCTAGAGGATCTCATAAATTCTACCTGAAACTGTACAAAATGTACAGTTTGCTGACAGCCAGAACAGTACAGAATCCATTCATCTGCAGTTGTTTTCAGCCCTTGGGATTGTCTAATAGCTACAGCAAAAAGTTGTCATGACTAAATCGAAGCAATTCCAATGTTAACATTCATTAATCACCTCTGTATTAAATATGCTGAATGAGACCACACACACTACACTTTAACCAATTAAACAGTCATGCATATCTTAGACAAAGCTTATTCCATTTAGAGGCATCTGTAAACTGATGCATATATAGTAATTGCTACCACTACAACAGGCCAAATTTTAAGAAATCAAAGCAAAGTACTGTATCGCTGTAAATAATCAATTGGTAGTCTGCTTCTTTGGCTCACACATCCATCATTCACCTCCCTACTTTAATTTGACTGAGGCAGATAAACTCAGGGGGGTTTTAAATCAAGTGCTTTCAAGTCAACATAAATATGACAGGTTCTGTAACAAAAACATTAGAACACAAGATTACAGCACTGCAATCAAAAGTATTATGAATAAAATGGGATCCCCTCCCAGAGGGACCTTCAACTAATACTTGAAGAGCATAAAAGCTCTGAAGTGCTTGTATAAACTAGTGATCTCAACTTTGCAGTACAGTATCACCATTTAGCAGGAGGGACAGTGGAGAAATACCAGCCAAGTGACAAGCTTAATAGCTCAAAGTGACTCAAAAGATCTCCTGCTCCCCTGTAATTGCTCTATTAAACTCCTTGTTATTTCTATCAAACATAGATTAATGTGGGCTTTGGTGATATTTTATAGGTACAACATTGCCATCTAAGGAAGTAATAACCTGTAACTTGTGTGTTTCCTCTCTCCGTAATATTTCTAATTTATTGTCTGAAATGCTATTGTTGAATTCTGATAGGAGACAGATGCCATAAACTAAAGACTACCTCACTGCAGGGACAAACCCAACCAACCACACCAGAGGAATGAGCTGAAGCCTTAGTCACAAAAGCCAGCACTGTCAGAGGCACCACAGACTATGCAAGCCCATTGGTACAAAGATCCTGGTTTTCAGTTTTGCAATGGTATAAAAGTGCACCTCTGATGCAGCAGGTGTGTATTAATGTGAAATTAATATTGCTAATGAGCTACCAGAGTAAATCATCCCTTTAGGTAACAACCATTGATCTGTTTGCAGTTTAAGAATGCAGATTAGTTCAGAACATCTTTTCCCCACTCATAGCAGAACTCATCACATCAATGAGAGGAGCACAATTATACTTCCAACTCCACCTGCATCACACCACTGAGAAGGACAAGGAAGACTGGAGCAAATTATGCCCTGATGGAGAGATTGAAGTGTGCCTACAGAAAGAAAAGAGAAATTTAAAATAACATGGCCTCATTTTTTTTTCCTTGAAGTAGACAGTAGATAACTTCACTTGTGATTTTATCTAGACACAGAATGTTTTAGTGCTCACAGGAGCTGAATCAGTCAGATTAATCTATCTGATAACACCATGTAGCAGTAGTATAAATAGCAACACTACTTTTCACACATTAGTCCAAGTCTACTTTCAGGATAGAGAAAACTGTCAAATAAATAAATTCATACATCTAAAAACAATTAAACCACTAAATTATAAAAACAACATTAACAGTAACTGTTAAACAATGAACAGAAAGCAACACATCAGCAAATCAGAAATCTGAAGATATTCACTTTTGCCATAAAAATGTTACCCTAGAATTAACTTGGTTTGAATTGCTAAGCTTTCCAAGAGATTTCTGCTGTTATCCCCACTCCAGATCAGCTGACTGACTTGCACCTTAAGGCATCTAAAACCTTCTTGCAATACCACACAAGTGAGTGATGCATGTATTTTTCTTAACAGTGTTATTTAAAAGCAGTTTTACTCTTTGCAAGTTTTTGTTTCCTTCAGCCAAATATTATTTTCCACTATGCAAAACTGTGCAACTAACCTGCAGTGATGTTCCTGGAAATGTCATCTGTCCCATGGGAGTTAAAGAGCACTGCCAAGTGACACTCTTTGAATAAGCTATGGAACATAAGCCTACTATTTTATGTAATTGCATTCTACAAAAATGGAGAAATCAAGATTTTCCAAACACCGTGGAATTTTTAGTCCTCAGATAACCAAGTACTTTATACTGCTAATTGGAAATACTCTGTTTTGAGCCTTCATTTTGCCAGAGTCAAAACCACCCTTTTTGTAGTTGCAGTAAAAACGGCTGAGGTGGTGCACAACCTTATCAGAGACCTTCAGGAATAAAATACAGCAACATTTTGAGATGGAAAGGACCTTAGGGGAAAAAAAAAATACAAACACTAAAATACAGTTGTTGGTTGTTTTGGGTTTTTTTTCGTATAGCCATGGAGCAAGCTGCAGTTTTGTGTCTTGCAGCTTCTCTGGTTTGTCACAGACTTTGAACTATTCAAACTTCTTACAGCAATGTGAGAGTGCTTCAAACAATCTGGTACAGCTCTTATTTTATGCACTTGTTTGGATAAAGGAGTTAAACCTGGGGTTTTCCTGCTACTGACAAACAAGGTAGACATCCATTACTAAAAAGATCTTTTCTTATATCCTAATTTTTGACAACTTGGAGACCAATTACTTTTTGAATGTTCCAAGATTGTTCTAATTGCAATTCTTAGAGTGAAGTGCAGTGGTAGAAGCCTCTGGCTTCATCATGTACAGCCAGACATACACATGCATAGGTTCTTCAACCCTCTCCCCTAAGATCTGAACTCAGATAATGCCACATAAACCCTTGATGAAGGAAAGGACTGAGAGTTGTAGCAGCACGGCTGTTCCAAAGCTCCGGATCCAAAAACTAGGCAAAGAAATAAAATGAGCCCAAATGAAGGAAACAGAGTGTCCAACTGAATCATTCTTCACAGCTTGTTCCTACATTCAGTAGTTTGGAGAAGATATTTCTTGCAGTTTGTACCACTGTTCAGACGATGACTGCCCCCTGCACACCAGACTCCCGAGATCCATCACACACAGCGCTCGGAGATGCGTGTCTGGTGCTATTTGCAGCCTTCCCATATGGCTCCTTAATGGAAATGCAAAGACCTCTGACACAGCAGGACCTAGAGTAAGCAGTTTGCTACAGGATGGGGTGTTGTCACTGAGTGATGCAGTTGTCCCCCATGTCCTGAGCATAGCGGTCCGACATGATAGTCCTTAGCTCATCGATGTCCTTCCGCAGCTGACAAACGTCCGACAGCTTCTTCGAAAGGGTCTCTGTGCTGTGGTAATTTTCACTCTCTTCAGATGAGCAGCTCAGTGCTACAAAAAACAACACCCAAGGTTAAAGCTCCAGCAGCTGTGGCCTCTGAATTCTGCAACTAGTCACCTCCTTGGAAATAAGAGGCAGGTCACTTGATTTACATCAAGACAAATCACGCTTCAGTGTGATGAAAAGTCTACAAAATAAGGTATCAAGTGAACTTAAACTCAATTCAGAGCCCATCAGTGCTTCTCTGAAAGACATGCTTTTCTGTCTGCACCAAGATCTAGACTTCCTGAAGTCTGAAGAATCAGAACAACAGTGGAAAAAAATGAAAAGAGCATTTCTAGAGACTTGGGTGTTTCTATAGTCACTCAGAAAAGAGGGCTAGCAGGTGTGTGGCAGCTCTTGCTGCACAAACACTGTACTTTACCTTTCTACCTTGCTGATGGTTCAGTTCAGCAACCCATCCACCTGATGAATTCTAATTAACATTCAGAAAACATCAAAATATGATACATTCAGGTCAACACAACCAGCTTGTTAGAAGGAAAGACCTGACATAAACTTTGGTTTTAGGGCATTTTAGGGCATGCTTCTCATTTCCTGGTTAAATTTAACAGCTTAGTAAATGCTGAAGACTAGATGAACAGCACAAGAGATGAAGTTACAGGCACAAGGCTTATTTCAAACACCTGGACATCCCCACTCCCAAACCAGACCGATACATATTCAAAGAGTAGATGGATATTCCTATCACTTGATAGGATATCAAGTGTTTTAAAGCCCAAAGGCTTTAAAAGAAAAGCACAAGATGTGTTTAGCATCTGTTAACCCTCATAGTGACTGCAGTGTGTCTCAGGAGGGACAGACGCCTGGCTACACACCTTTCTTTTCTAGAGCAGTGAACATATCCATGACTGGGTCCACATGAAGAGCCAGCTACCTGCTCTCCTGACCTGGCAAAGACCTGTGCAGTCACATGCATTTAGTGGCCCGGAGGCACTAAGATCCCAGCTTCTCCAGAGAGCTCCATGAGTTCATGCACCACTGCTCCAGCTGCATAGCAAGGGGACACAAGCTTGTCCAGCTGGCAAGTTCAAGCACCACATTAGCTAAACTGTTATTCCTTTGTGTCAAAACATTTATTAAGCACTGGAAAGTCAACATCACTTACATCTGATTCCCAGCAGTAAGGAAAGGTTAGGCTCCTTGCCCTGAGCTCTCTGGGTAAGAATACTGCACAGTGCTTTCAAGTCAAACAAGCAGTGGGACATTTCCTTGAACAACTGGTCTGCTACAGGCATCTTCTCAGATACTGGCTGCCTGGACTGCTCCACCAGCCTGATCTGCTCCTTCAGGCAGGCATTCTCTTCCATCAGTCTTTGGTTCTTTGTGAAAAGCAAATAGAAAAAAGGGGAAAGTTAGTCTGCAGCATTCAATGTAGCAGAAAGTTTCAAGCCACAGATAGTACAATTAAAAATAATTAATTTCCAAACATATAATCATTATTTCTGCAGCCCTCCAAAGAACAGCATACAGACAGCTTTTATAGGGCTATTTTATGTTGTCATTACTTCTGCATCTTTACCTTTTAAACTCTCACTTCTTTAGACAGGGGTGGTATGCATTATATATCTGCATGGCAGCCAGGATATTTAAGTATGTAATAAAGCTCATAAAGCCCTACCAAGGCATCTTATAATCATTCTATAAGGTTCTTCCTGGCTCTGGTGTGGTGAGGGGTTGGGATACTAGTGCTATTTTACTTACTTCAGAGAGAGTTTTATTCAGCTGCTCTATATGTCTTTCTTTTTCCTCAAGCTCATTTGTCATCTTCTGAATTATCAGCTTTTCTTGTGAAAGCTTCTCTTGCATAGACTGAAATGAAAGAAAACACAGGTTAACAATCTTAAACAACAACAAAAAAAAACCTGCTGCAGCACGGAATCACCTGCTGTCAATTCCCCGGTTTTTACCCACAGAGCTCAAACTGAGAAATCACGAGATACTGCCAAAATGGAATTTTCAGGGTGAATTCAGCACGAGCACAGGTGCCTTTACTCTTGAAAGTACTCATATTTATTCCACTACTTGGCTTTTAAATCTGCAGATATGTCTTTTCAGGTCATCTGGCAAAATTCAGAAAAAGGAATATTCAAGCCATCTTATTGGAATACTAACAATGAATAGAGACTACATAAACTCCTGGTGCTTTCAAACAGAGAGATCTCTTCAGCTGTGAATTGCCACCTGTAAGATTTACCAGTACTGATGAGAAGGCAGGGAGTATTGAGAGGCAAGGCAGGTCCAACACTACATGAAGTTTTTAAAGGCCTGGTGAGTCACAGGAGGTGTTGCAGCATTGACAAAATTTCCCTGAGCGTTCAGCTCGACACCACACAAGCAGTGGGGACTCTGTCACACTCTTTGCAAAACTGGAAAACAATGGTGCTAACATTTACAGACTTAATGCAGACTAAAAAACCCCCAACACTTTATTTTCATGTCAGCAGTAGGAGTGAGCAGGCAGAATCCAGATATGATTACTTGTTTTTAAAGCCGTTTTCGTACACTTGACCTGCTGCTCTTTTAACCCCCAGCATGCCTCTCAAAAGGAAGTGCTGAAGTAATGTGTATCCTAAAGATAAGCTCTTTGAGAAAGCAGAGCCACACACACCAGTGGGAGGAAGGAGGCAAAGGAAACACCCTGGGCCAGGAGAGGGCAGGAAATAACTGCTTCAGGCATTTCCTTTGCGTGCTTGCAGATGAGCAGAACCTGCAGTGATGTTGAATCGTTGCCTTTAGGTTTTTATAAACATTATCTACTGAGAAAAATCACCATTACTAGGTTGGACTGAAGGTCCTTCAAGCTCCATCTGTGGTGTACAGGTGTCATACTTAAGAAGCATGAAGTGAACAGGGCAATGCAGTGCCAAAAACACCCTCCCTGCTTTCAAATATCTTCCAATTTTAACAGTCGTTGAAGAAGATCAAGTTCCGGGACACCCAGTGCCCCAGCTATGATAGATGCATTAGGACTACCACTTACAGGTTTCATGTTCATGCCAACAACAGACAAAAAAGGTTTGACTGTGCAGCCTTCTGGAAGGGGGGAGGTGGTAGGGAAGACAGGGTGAGAAATATTAACCTTTCCCAGTGTATTTTCAGAACTACATCTGCCACTAAACTTACATGGCTCTGCAAACTAAGCAAGAAACAACTTTTAGAATATTCCATGCAATATGCGCATGTTCAGCTCAAGAACTGCTCCATGTAATGGGAACTACTAGAAGTAGAAATCAGTGTTTATATTTAAAAGATACACCTAAGAGCTACCAATCATTCTCTGTTACCCTCATCCTAATGCTCAGAAAAAGAACAGCTTGACTGAACCTATAGTGCTAAGTTTTACACATTCCTCATGGTGCTATGAATTCCTTATACTTCACCCTTTATTTTTCCATATGCCTTCCAAAGTTCCAATATTCCCAGCCTGGCACAATTGGGGTTTATTGTGACTGGCAAGATTGACAAATGTACTTTGTACAATGCTTATGTTACCCCATCTGACTTCTACTGTCTTTTTTTTCTATCAAAACTGTTCATTTTGTGATATCCAAATTAATAATGTAAATATGAATTTCTCTTCAAACCACCACGGTCATCTACAATTTTTCTCTTTCTAAAGGTGCACTATATATGCAGCACAGCATCTTGCCAAGGCCAACAAAAATTTTAATTCCTCTCACTCAGAACAACAAATCAATGAAGTAAAACCATACAAGGAAGATCAAAATAATTTCACCATGATTATGAGAAACTAATACTGCTTTATACAACTGCTGTCTGAAACAGAATTTGTTTTCAGCTTGCAAGTCAAAACCAATGAACTGAAATACATTCTCAAGCATAAGGTTACAATGTGGCAGAAGACATGGAATAAAATGAGATCATCTTAGCAGAAGATGAATTGTATCTCTGTGCTGATAAGGGATTTCAATTTCCAATGAGCTAATTTTCAATACTTCCCAGGTCACAAGTATGGAAGGCCAGGGATATCAAGGATACAAAGAAGCTCCTATAGTCCACAAGTAATTCAAGGGCTGACACCGTTTTAAAATCTTTTCTGTCCTCATATAAAAGACCTCAAGAGGAAAAGAAAGAGGAAGTCCTGGAGAACAGAACAGTATCCTGTTTACAGACAGTCACAACTATTCAGCTTTTCCCAGTCCAGCTCTGTAAAGTCATGTCAGGCTAAGCACACAAAACACTGTAGATCACTAGTCCCAAGGTAATGGTGATGGTGAGAAAAAGACCAGAAGGCTTAGGAAACATGGAAAGATTTAGGTTGATGATGACACACCTAGCAAGTTGTGTATCTCTGATAAGCACAACATATATATGGAGTACATATGTAAATAATCTTAACTACAAAAAGGCACAGAGAACCTCAAAATGTTATGAAGTTCAAGCTGAACTTCTTTTTAATTATATATCATCTGAAACAACATTAGCCTGTATTACAATTTTTGCACATACCAGTCTGCTCCATGCAAACATCTCAGTTTGATAAAATCAGTCTTCTTCAAACCTTGAGAAGCTAAATCAGTCAGTTTCCTTTTCAGTTAACATATGTACCTCATGTTGCAACTTAAATTCTCCTACTGGTTCTCTACACATGTATTTCACACACTGCAACCTAATCAAACAAATACATGGCTGTTGACAGGAGTCAGGCCTCCTAATTACCATGGCAGAGAAAGGAAGCAACTTAACAGTGGGAGACAACTTTTAACAGACAAATGGCATTCTAGAAGAGGAATGTGGAAACTGGAGTTTGGCTTCAATGTTTGCTGAAAACAGATGTTTGGGTTTGTTTAAATGCTCAGCTTTTTCTATGACAAGAAATATCTTCCTTTCTAAAACCTGTATAATGTTTCTTTTTCTCCACAACAAACAGCAGTCACTGAGTAACTTTCAACACTCTCTTAATCAGATCTATAGAGCTGCAGCTGACTCCTAGCTGACAACCTCTGCTGTCTAGAAAAATCTCTGGCTGCAAGCTGGCTGCCCAACATCCAGCAGGACAGTTAAGGTATCCAAGTGTCAGAAACTAGTTGAACAGGGTGAAGTGAGATAATTTAGAAAGGCACCTGTCTCTTCTAACAAACTGAACACTGAAGCCCCTAAGCAACAGCGCTTTTGTACTTTGGATGACCCGCTAGACCAGCAGGATAAGGATGCAACACAGCAACAGTTTTTCACTTTTTGATGAGTACCAGTGAAGTGCTAAACCACAGAGACATAACTACACCAGGAGCCTGCAAGAGAACATGAGTTGACTACAATCCATCTGTAAGATTAAATTTTCGGAATTTCTCCCTTTGACTCCTATTCATAAAAATAAAAAAATAAAATTCAACTCTAGCTATGTCATTCTTGTGAACTAAAAATGCACACAGTAAACAACAGAAGATAAACTCTTCCTTACCTGCATGTCCAAAATCAGTCCAGTTATCTGATTTTGTTGATTGTCTATAATCTAGAATATAAAATTGAGCAATTTAGAAGGCTTGAGTCTCTTCAGATCATTGTCTAAAAATCAGGCTACAGGTGTGTAGGCAGATTCTAAATAGCATCTTTAAAAAAACAAGTGACAAGACAGTTCAACTCTGACAGAATACAAATTCATGCAAAATCAATATTCTGAACAGAGACAGGCAGGTCTTGAAAAGTCATCAGAATTAGCAACAAATATGTAATTCTTCAATGAGGTATTTATTTCTAAATTAAAAAAAAAAAAGAAGTGTAAGATTTAAGGTTAAAGATGGCACCAGCAGAATATTTGCAGACTAACCTTACTAGCTTTCTCATTCTTCTCCTTGAGACTTTCATTTTCACTCTGAAGCTGTTTTGTGTCCAACATAGGAAGCCGAATACCATCTTCCAGGCATTTTTCTACTTTCTGTTGTAAACTGCCATTCAACATGAAATAAAGATTAGGTGGGTTAATAGAAACCAGAGGGTTGTGTGTTCTAGGAAAAAATTAGAACTTGCACCATCTACCCAACCAGAACTGTAAAACTGTACCTAGCAGAATCCAGCCTGCCTTATGTGATTCATGCACCAACAGCCCGTGAATGATGCAAAAATTCTAAACTACTCCAGTTGCTGTGGCACTGACAAGGCCATATTCATGCAGATGAATGCAGGTTTTATGTGCCATACTCTGTGCTGAGTGTCCCAACAGGCACAGCTCCAGCAGTACTGTGTAGGAAGAGAGGGCAGAGAGGAGCAAAGCAAAGCTCTGCAGTGCTCACAGTCCACTGGGGGAAGTGAAGCATAGGTCAGAGACATCTGTGAACCTTCACAGCTTTGGGAGTGTTTAAATCAGATTGTCTCACTGGGGCACATACAACTCAGGAGTCCAGAACCAAATGCTGTGCACCAGCAGTGCTGGTGCCCCATCCACCACACCCTCTGTGACTTGTAATGGGGAGCCCAAGGCCATTCCTGCCAGGAATGCTCCCACACAAGGGCATGGCCTTCAGACCCTCCATTGCTCAACTCAGCCCATACGCGTAGCTACAGCCTCTGTCTGCTCACCTTCTCTCAGAAAGGAAATACACTTTATTAGTGCTAATCTTGCTGTCTAATTTAGAAACCAGAGGTCATCCCAACTATTTGTAGGCTTTTGGAAAAGACAGAATGATCCCCCTCTAGATTAGGGGAGCACGAAAGCCTTCCATTGGTAAGATGGAAACAATGTGTCAACAATTTGGCTGGCAAGGTGTCCCAGCCAGCTCGCCTTTCATCATGGAAACCTTTCAGGCTCCTGTGGCATGCACCTTTACCCAATGGAGGGACAACAAACTGCAGGGACATCCACAGATACTTAAAAGTGATTCTCTCCTGCTCCCCTTTAATAAGAAAGAAAAATGTTTAAATAGGTCCCCTAAAACAGAACATAGTAACAAAAGTCTCCATGTCTCACCTGGATATTCTTGGATATCTGTCCCATTTGTTTTTTCATACTTAGGTAAATTCAATGACAACACACTAGCTACAGCTAAATTTTCTCGTAAATACCTGCACCCTCAATAAAAAGGTAAGAAATGGCTGGAATTTTTTGAAATCTTTGACCCTTCCTTGATATATGCATCAGCCAATATCCAGTTTTTCCACAGCTCATGACAGGATCAGTTATTACATAGCCCTACTGACAGCTTCTATACAATGCCCCTTTGCCACACAAGTTTGTTGTATCCTCTATCTAGCAACAGGCTATGATGCCATTGCTGCAGTGTCCCACACCCTAAAAGACAGACAGCAAAGAAGACGCTAGGCTCACTCTTCTCTGTGGTATTAACTACAACTTGCCACAAAGCAAGTTGTAAAACCCTTACCATAAAAAGTCATTAGCACTGTAATAGATTAAGTCTGCAAATAGCATTAGGCCTTGACATCAGGTGGGGATGCAGAGCCATTGCAGGGCACAGCCTGAGCAGCTGCCCATACCTCTGCACTGTTGTGACCAGCTCTTTTTCTTTTTTCTTCTGAGATGCCAGCTGTAATTCTCTCTCTCTGCACTGTGACCGGGCCTCTCCAAGCTTCTTTTCCAACTCAGCCATGGTTTCTTGAAGCTGCTTGTTCTTCTCTTCTAGGATTTGCAGCTAAGACAAGGTTACATTAGTCAGACACTGTGTCACACCAGCAGAAGGCCTTGTGTCAGACCACAGCCTTGCAGTGACCTGCTGCATAGTTTCACAGCAGTGTTGCTTACGTGACTGTGAGAAAATCCTAATACCTTTCTAAAAGATTGAAATACTCTTCCTAAACATAAGGGTGAAAAAAAAGATATTTTGAAACAGTAAAATACTTCACAACAGATATTAGGGAGCTTACTTATATCTTTTAAATGTAAAACAAACCTCCCTTTACCTTACCTGTTTAGTCTGCCCTTCTATATCATCCAGTGTTGGAAGGTCAGCCAGGTATTTTTCTAATGTTTCAATTCGTCTTTGCTTTTCTTTGTTTTGCTCAGACTCTTTCTGGCATTTCTTTTTCAGGCTGTTAATATATCGGTCTCTAGTTTTAAGCTAGAAGAAAGACAAAGAGTACATGTTTTATGACACTAGTAAAAATAAGCCTGCTTTGGAAGCAGAGGCTGTTAACTCTCCGAGAATTGTACTCTCAGCTGCATGAAAGCATTGGCTAAGAGCAGGAAACAAAACCAAAAGTTATTACTCCCAACAGCTTCAAGTTACAGGCCACATGTGTCCTCAAACCACAGCTGCTTCACCTCTGCCCAGAACAATCCATGTACCTTATGAACTGAAAACACAAAGTTTAATACTTAAAATATTGTTAATTCTTTCACCCACTGAGATGCTCATACATAACAAATAATTAGGATACATTTTAGTTCCTCTAGACTAGGAAAACAACTTAAAAACATGAGGACCAAGAACTTAAACTATCAAAATTGGAAGCCAAAACCCTGATTTTGATGCAGTCTGACAATCACATCAGAGGATATCAGATCAGAATAGCTGCCTTTTTAAACACCTTTTCTGTAGGCACCTTAATTTTCCATGAGCCTGGAAAAGACTTTTTACATTATGTTATATTTGTTTGTATTCTGGTACTTATTTTGCTTTATTACCTAGACCAACAAAGAGGAAAGAAAGGCAGGAAAAAAGTATTTTCCACTGTCCCTCCCTGCCCTCTCTCTCCTCTTTTTGTTCAGTGCAGAGAGTGGATGGGTGTTAAGGGGCAAATCAGGACTGTGCAGTGAAGCAGGGTCCAACCTACAGACCATGCTGCTAACACAAGCACTGCTGCACAGGTCCTCACCACTGCTTGCCAATTCCTACACAGTGAGCAATCCAGGCAGGAAAACCCACAAAAGAGGAGCAGCAGTATTCAATTTCTGCTCTTCCTGCCTCAGTGAAAAGCATACCAAGGGTTCACAGGAAATGGTACAGCAGAATTTTGAGATGAATTATGCATTCTTCTTTGTCTTTCCACTGGACACTTCACTGTATCACATTGCTTGTATCCCTTGAACCTGATTTAATATAAATTAAGCCCAGTAATTAAAGAAGATGAGGTTATAGTGACAATGTATCCCTAAAATATTAATTAGGAACCCCTTGGTCAATGGCACATTCCTGCTTGCAATAAAGGAAGGCTGTGAGTACATTCAAAGCTACCCCTGGGAATTCCTTACGCCTGCTAAGAAACCCTTTCTCCAAACAGTTCCAAGAACACAGCTATCTTTGTCTCAGTCTAAAGTCTACTCTGAGCATTCTAAGAAAGCTACAAGAGAATCACTCCTGCTAAATAGGCACATACAGGCTGGTGAGTGCATCTCAAAGCTTGAGGGCCACATTTACAAACCACACTAAAAATAAGGATTTAATTTTCACAATCTATGTTTTAAAATTATATTTTATTTACATAATAAACACTACAAGCTACAATACTGAACAGCTTTTTTTTTTCCAAAGCTTAACTGATACCTTATTAAATCTGTTACCATGATTAACATTCCACCTAGTATCACTTTCTAGGATATATTTTCTGCAAGTCTAGATTTATCCATTACCAAAACCTGAAATCATTAATCTTCTTTTTCTGTCACAGATAGTTTAGTGATGTTTCGAAAATAACTCAGGCACCCATATAGCAAGTTCCTTTCTAGCAAAAATATGCTGCTGCAACAGTGACAAAAAGGAAGGTGGATCAGGAAAGACACTTACTTTCTCCTCCATCTTCTTTTTCTCCTCACTAGATTTGTTTGAAAGTTGTTTCACAATTTCACTGAGTTGCAGTTCCTTGCTCTCAGCCGCTGCAATCTTCCGCTCAAGCTCCTCGAGGTGGGATGCTGATCTTTCTGAAATGTGAGGCTGCAGCGGTGTGCTCTCATACTGTGGTTGCTTATGAAAAGAAATAAAATAATCACACAAATGAACACACACACACACACCACTGTACACTTGAACTGCAGAACAGAAAACAGTTCTGCATTTTTTTTAGCTGTCAGGAAGGGTGGGGTTTGATTTTTCAAACATTGAAAGACATGGCAACAGCATCAGTTTCGGGAATCTGAAGCAAAGAGACAAAGAAGTTGGACACCTTTACACTCATAACAAATGCACAAGAACATTGTGTGGCTACTTTCCCCCTCAGATTTATGGAAGATGTGTTATTTCAAAATAAATCCCTATAAATGCAGAATAAAAGCATTTTCAAAACAAATCACTACCACTGCTTTATCATACCATCTCCTGAGAAGAAAAACATTTTAAAATTGCTATGAATATACTGAAGTAAGAGACTTCAATCTCAAGATCCTCCTAAAGCAGAACATCAATACCAGTCAAGGCTTAGAGCAATCACTCAGGAACAAGCAGGAACACTAGAGCTACAGTCAGAAGGCAGGTCTGCTGTCTTTTGTTCTGTGTACCAACACTTCCATCTCCACTGCCTAGAGACAGACAAGCACAAAATGGAAGTTGGCTGCATGTGGGATGAAAAAGGAGATGCATCCCATTAAGCTTTTAATTTCAAAATTCTTTTAATAACATAAATTGGTTATCTTTAAAAATACTGCCTGTATAATTTCTTTAACCAGTGACATTCCTTCAGTAAAGTATTAAAAGATTAAAACCTTCATTAAACTAGATTTGCTTTTATAAATGTCTTATAGAAGCCAAGCAGAAAATCAAATACAAATCAAGCAGAAACCCAAATACATTATAAACTTTCAATCTTCTTTAAATTATGAAAGAGGAATGCACCTGCTGCTTTATTTGAAACATAACATACTAAGATATGTGCACTAAATTTCAGTTTCTGCAATATTGTTTCCTTTGTTTGTTTGTCTGGGTTTTTTGTTTGCATCTTCTCTCCCTCTCCCCCCTCAAAAAAAAAAATTCTTAACCTACAAATTAGGTTAAAATCAAATTAGGTTAAAACCTTAAAATTTAAAGTATTTTGTAAAAGAAGATCTGGAAGCAACAAAATCCTAGACATTCCTAGATGTCTCAAAAGTTTCTGTACACCTAAGTTCAGCTGAGGCTCCACTTGAATTTCTCTGCTGTCACACAAACCACAGTCTCACATGATGTACAACTGTGCTATTCCAAGTACACAAATAATGTCATGCCAAAGTACCCTAGCTGAGATCCTACTGCAGTGCTTGTGACAGAAAAAAATAACATAACAAAAGAGGGACAGAAAAGCTATTTCTCTGCATATCTGCCTTTAAGAATCCCTTGCTGTAATGCCTTTTAGATATGCCAAGACCTGGAGATGGAATTTGTGTGCTACAAGCAGCCACAGTCCTCACACTGATCTGCATTTCTTGGTGAACCTTTGCTACCTCATATCCTTATGCCACTTGTCCTAAGTTTCATCTACCTAGCACAGGTATCAAGTATACTCAAAATACCACCAGACATTCCCTTTCAGACTAAGTGCTCCCTAGAAGCACTTGCCCATATCCTTTTCAGGTTCTTGTCAAAAGGTATTCATCTATCCAGGAGAGCAGTATTTCCTCATCTTCAGAAAAATATCTCATTAGATATTTTCAGATAGTCTCCTATCAAACTATTTTTTCTCCTACTATCTCCCTGTAGGACTACCATACATGCATGCTGTTAAACTCTTATAGTGTCACAATCCTTCATTGCTATCTTATTTTTATCAGACTTCCAAGTATGTACAAGACTAACAAAACTTAGATTTCTGCAAATATAAGGTAAACTACAACACTTGCAGAAGGTTTTCTCTACACAATCTGCAGATATGAAATTACACAGCCATCAATAATCACAAAAGCTCTTCACTCTGGCCTGCAGAAAATGGTGAAGATGCTTTAGGTGCCAGGTGCTGGGCAGTGGAAAGCTCTGCTGAAAGAAAAGCATTCATCCTACCTGTAAGTTAGTCAGGTATGGTTCTTCGCAGTTCACAAGATGGCTCAGTCTTGCATGTTGAGCTCGTATTTCATTCTCCCTTATCTTCTGATGTAAACTGTTAATTTGCTGATTCTGCCTGTAATACACAAATTTAAATTGGGGGAAAAAAAAGGAATGGAACAGAGATTAGAAAAACAGAGATCTTAAGACTTATACTAAAGAATACATTAACAGTGGTATTCAACTATCCAGGATTACACTAGCTGTGGGTTTTTTCTCACTGCAGCCAGACTGCAACTGTAGAAATACAATTTGAAAACTCTTATCAATTTTGTGTGGGTTGAGGGAGGCTTCTGTTGCCATCTGCTGCTAGGGTTGGAAGTATAAGCAGGGGAAAGCATACAGAAAGCAGAACAAAACCAAACAAAAATGGCACCTTCATTTCACTTGGACTCCTCCTGCTTGGCCCCTCTTTTTACCAGAACCGATTTCTGATAAAAGCTGAGGAGATTTACAAATCAAGAGGAACAGAACAAACTTAAAAAGAAAAGGCCATTATATAAGATAGTCAGCACAGCTTCCCTACAAGGTCTTGCTTTTTTCTTTGCTTAAGACTTTCTCAATCAACTGCTTTACCTAAGATGTACCTTCCCCTAGGGTAAAATACTGCACTGTGTGCTACCACAAGTAGCAGACACCCACAGCTTGGCCAGTGTACAACAAAAACAGTATCAGCATTGTATCATTATTGAATTATAACACAGATTGTATCACTGCTTAAATCCTGACTGCATTTGAACTCGGCAGGACTGCAGGGCAAACACCTGCCAGGTCTCTGCCATGGCACAAGTCACAGCCCCACCAGGTGTGCAGTAACTCTCCATGGAGCAATGGGCACCTCAAAACCCGACCCAGAGTGGAGCTGTCAGCACCCACCAGAAACACACAGAGACCTCTCAATAAACTTAAAACCAATTTTGTGCACTCTGTAATTTTCCTTCTTTTTTATTCTAGGATATATTTGCATGCAAGCAAGAAATGTTTTTTTTCACAGTTTCACCTAAGCATGGAGCATGACTGGCTTTTCTGAAAACAATGATGCTGAACCCAGGTGACTAAACCCAATATTAAGAGGAGATAAACAGCAAATACAGGTTAACTTCAAGGGAAAAGACCTTTCCTGTGCATACCCTGGAAAAGCAAATCCTGCAAAGTATACAGAAAAATATCAACATCTGTTGCTTTTTTTAAAATTTGGAAGGGTTGTGTTTAGGGAGAGCATCTTGGAAACAGTAGAAGGTGTTCAAAAATATGGATTATATAAGCTATAAACTAATACAAAATATCTATTAGTTGAAAAGATGCCAACTGCAAATTTTATTAGGATGCTGAAGGGAACATTTTAGCTACTCATATTCTTCTAGCTAGTCATCAGCCAACTGTATCCCTATTATTTGGTTTACAAAAGCAAGAACATATTTTAAAAATATTGAATATAGTAGAAGTTATTTCTCAGCCAGATATGTTAAAGAAAACATAATGAGAACTTTTTTTTTTCTGTTTCCCTATTTTTATATCTATAAAGAACAGCAATGAATGGAAAGCCAGTATATGTAAGTTGCCATTTGTTGGTACCTTAGAACAATTTATTCAACATGAATGAATAAAGAGAGAGCAAGTGAATATATTTATGTGACTATAGCGAATTTTAAAATATTTTGTATCAGCACATGTGATTTTGAGGCTTTCCTGTTCCCTCTAGTATCTAGATTGAACAAGCTTGTACAAATACAAAAGGAGTATGTGATATCAGAAGGCTGTGCACAATTCTGGTTGTCATCTGTAAGATGGCACTAAAACAAAAAGCTTCCAACTTATTTTGGAAGATTAGGTAAATGAATATGCTCTTAACTTGTAAGATTCCTTACAAAAGCCCAAAAGTTTGTACAATTATATGAGAAAATATGAAGTCTCAATGACTTCTGTGCATGCCTGGTCACAGAGAACAAAATTATTTAGTATGAGTTATTCAAACCTATGAACTGAAGCAATTTTTTTTTTTTATCACCTTTTTACTTCCTAGACAGATCTATTAAAAATTCATTGTTTTAAAATTATTTATGTGTTTTAAAATTATTTATCCACTTGTCACATACCTCTTGAAAGCACTATAGGATTTTCTGTTTATGCCTGATTGCAATTTAGCAGTGCCTCCCCTCCCAGGCAGGATTTCAAGAGTCTGAACACTACAGCCTGAAGAATATGTTTTAAAATATTTTTGAAGTACCAGTGTAGTTTGAACTACATTATTATATTTCTTTTCATAATCCTTTCCCTACCCTACCATATCTCTATTGCAAAAAAGGTGAGACAAGTTAAACCAAGATGAGACAGAACACAGAGTTTAGCTAGCTTGCTTCTTTTCACTCTGCAAAGCACAAAACTCTCCATCATTATATAACCTCGCCAACAAAACACACTCTAGAAATGTTTTAGGGCTGTGTAGACTCCACAACTTCTTCACATAACTGCCTCTATGAAAACAACATTAACCTCATGGCACTCTGAAACAAACATTTTGCTGCATAACCAGAGAGTCTGAGCTTTATCCAAAAGGAATTTAGAAATTTCAGTTGCTCTCAAAAACACAGGTTGCCTATTACAGTGGGAACACTGTCCCCAGAAGCCTCCCTATTAGCAATCTATCAGCCCAGCACTTTAAAAAAGCAAAACCAAATACAACCAGCCTTTAGCATTTAAGTGCCTCCAAGTTTCTGTCAAGCTCCTCAACCTTTAGTGCTTCTAGAAGCCATCTGAGTACAAGTGGGCACAGCTCTGGGCACGGGGGAATCTGACAGGAATCCAGCCTTCAGTGCACAGAAACCAGACCTCACCTCACACATCTGGGCTCAGTGAAAGCACTGTACCTAGGCACCATGGAAACTGCTTTCCTTCACAATGTCCTTATTTTTTCCCCCATAAGTGAGTGTTACAACTTTATGCTGACAGCAAAGGAAGAGTTACAGGTGTACTGAATGTCATGGCATTTCTCACATGGTTTCATGCAATCCCTTTGTCCAATGCAAAAATCACTATTTTACTTCAAGTGTCTGTCTTGACACATCCCCTCCCCTAACACTCAGACTAAAGTAGAAGGGAACAGGAGGCAATACCCTGATCCAAAGTCATCAACCAACCAAAGGGACTCAGAGCTGAAAATTTTGTTTAAATAAAATAAATAAAAGTTAAAAAATGAAAATAAATCAGAAAAGGCAGGAATAAAAAACATCCTTTTGGAAGGGACATTTTAGCGTTCCTTATGTAAACTGATCTTCCAGAAGGAAATGGCATTAAAAGATGCATAAACTGTAAATATTCTATCCGATCAATTAATGTAAACATGAGACTAATAACATTGTTTTCACAAAAACTTCTGACACAAATCTTTCCAGCTGTCCCTCAAGATGTAGTACTTCCAGAAACTGGGGGTGGCAGTGCAGAAACAAACAAAAAGAGAATCTAAACTTCTCTCGAGGTAGAAAAAGACTGCCTGGTACACATGTACCCACAGAAGAGTTCTGCACTGAGGACATCTTGTCTTTTTCTTCAGGCATAATGATTTAAAGGGATTTTTTTTTTTCCTTCAGAAGCTACCTGCTTGCTATATTTTCATCATCCTTTTTCTTTTTTTAATTTCACTGATATACACTGGACTATGCCTTTTCAACCTCTTTTGAGCCATAAATAAGCTGAGATCAAATCCACTCTGTACTGCTCCCAGGTACATTCTTTCTGAGGGAACTCAGCAGAAGTGATAGGTTATCCAACAACCTGTGTCCTGCTCTGTGGTCTCCTGAACCAGCTTTTATGTCCCAGTTTCCACATGTTAGCTATTCTAGTTAGATTATTCACAGAAAGCCCTATCATTTTCACAAAGTAATGACTTTGGGTTATTTCCAGGTCTTATAAACATGCATTTTGCTCCCTTTTCTTCCATTACCTTCAACATTCTTTATTTTTCAAGGCTTCAGTCATGTTTCACTACTTCAGATCAATGATATTTTGTTAGGAAGGAAAAGTTAAAAATCTGTCATGGCAGATTGTATCATTCTCTCACCTTTCCCAGAATTACCAACTGCCACCCCTTCATAAAATCCTGACACTAGAGATTAGGCGATCAAAGATGCTGATTCTGTGTAATTATTTCCTTGGCATTTAAGGAGAGTAGCATTCCTTATCTGTCTTTCTGCCTGCCACAGACACTTCCATTCGTAATCCCCCCATCCTGTGACTACTTAAAAGCTGTCTAGAATTCAGGGGGAAACTTCTAATGCTACTTGACCCTAACTAAATCTATTGAAACTAGCAAAAAAAAAGTTAGAACCATAACCATGACTTATCAATGGTAAGAGGAAGGTCTTTATTTTGATTCAATTGCAGTTCTGTCCTTTAGCTGAAACAGTCCCCTTTGAAAATTCAAGTCAGCACAGAGGATGTGGGATAGCAGAGAACAGCAGTCAACTCAACGTGCACAAGCCTGGACTGTCTTCAAAGAACAGCATTAACAAACTACATAATTTAAAACTGATTCTACTTAAGTCTCAAAAAATATTTGTATGACATAACTGACATTCATATAATTTTCTCACATTCCTGCAGGACAAGCGTGGACACATGCTTATACAAACATTCACATATGCATTTGTCTGGAAATAAACCATATTTCTTGAATCTGGGACCAGTTCACCCATTCTCCATAAGCCCATCTTAGAAACCCACATCTGCCAGAGAAGCACTTCATCCCCCCAACTTCTAAGCTATTCTTCTTAACTTTAATTTTTAGATTAGAGTACATCCAAGTCCCACACTCTAAGTCAAGGTAAGATAAGTATCTTGAAACAATTCAGGGACTTTAGAACAGAGCTTCCTCCACCACAGAGGGGACAGTAGTAACTTCTTAAGAAAACAAATGACAAATGATGCTTACCTTCAAAAGTCACAAGTTAACAAGAATTTTCTGCTTTAGGTGAAAATGTCTGAGCAGACTTCTTCAGAATCAGGATACAAAGTAAAATACAACATGGATCTGTATATATTACAGATATAATTTATTCCATGCTGCAGCTGGAGGTACAC